TCCAACAAACGCATCAACCGTAAAGCTCTTCTCCACTTCTCGAATCAACTTCCCACGAGCTCTCTGCGCCTGAACCGGTTAATCAGAGAGATAAATAAACCAGAAAGAACCATTTCAAAGCCGACCCATAAACAAATATGAAAATAAGCAAAACCTGAATGTAATCGACCGCTGTAATTACACGAGCACGGCGTAACTCAACCGGCCATTGATCTTGAGCTTCAAAGAGATCATCTTGACCCGTTCTTTGCCATTCATCAAAATGAGCTAACATGTCTACATACATTGTGAAATCCAATATCCCTTGAACCGAATCCACTGTATAATTTAGCTCAAAAGGAACCATATTGACACCTTTCGACCCAAGAACTTCCACGACCTAAAGAAGTCAATCGAATCAACACAAACCCGATTATTCGGATAGCCAAACAGTGTTTAACTATAAGTTCACCTTCATGTCAGCATCTTTGGTATACCCAACAGTGAGTTTTGTGATATCCACGGAGAAGGGGTCTTTAAAGGCTATCTCTCTTGATGAGAGATCATCGGGATCTTTCCCTTTGATAGCGTCAAGGACTACAGCGCAATCTGCCGCTGTTCTACAGAAAGGTCCCAACTTATCCTGTGACAAAAGATTTGCATTTACAGAGTTATATACTCTAAAGTATTCACACTGGTTTTGAAGAGGCGCTTTAAGACCACTACTATTTTGCCATACCAGACTCTCTGATATGCTCATCACTCCGGTTCTACCAACGCTCCCAAATGTCGGACGCAATGCTGTTATGCCACACCGAGCTGCAGGGTATGTCATTGAGCCTGCTGTCTCCGAGCCTATGGCAAACGGAACCATACCTGAACAAAATTTTACCCAAACAAAAAGGATAAGAAACAGCTCATTTGTTCAGCTATAGCCAAACAGAAACGTAATCATGATTCATTTTCTACATAAACTAACCAGCGGATGTGGAAGCAGCGGGTCCAGCTGATGATCCGGTAGAGAATTCCTCGATATTCCACGGGTTCCTAGTCCGTCCCCCAAACCAAATGTCATCATAAGCCAGAGAACCCGAAACAAGCTTGGCTACTAAAACTGCGCCTGAAGCTTTTAACCTAAACAAACAAAAAACCATCCGATTGACGTTGTCAAGTTAACTTCAATAGAACAAAATAACAAAAATGGTGAAAATTTCTTTTCAGGACCTTTTGTAAACCCATGCTTCAATATCAAGAACTTGATCTTTGAAAGAAGTTGATCCCCACGTTGTTTTGTATCCAGGAACCGCAACTGTATCCTTTAAACCATATGGAATCCCATGAAGAGGTCCTAATTACGCACAAAAAGATCATAACCAGAAGCTTGAAACACAATAGGTCACCAATCCATCAAACAAATCTATCACATGAGAGATACCGAGATAAGTTCCTTGAGAGATCAAATTATCAGCTTCTTTGGCTTGTTTGTATGCCAATTCTTCAGTGTAAGTAACCACAGCTTCAAGAACACAATTATACCTTTTTTCCAAGAATCCCCATTAACAACATTAGCTCATGTAAAATTCCACTCAGTTAGAACAGAAGCTCCCTTACCGTTTTAACTTCTTGAGATAAATCCGAACAAGTTCCTCGGAAGTAATCTGTCTCGTCTTTATAAGTTCTCCGAGTTCAAGAATCTGCCACAAAGCATTCTATAATCAGATGAACCTACCTATCTAATCGTAACAACCATGAAAAGGGAGATGACTTACGCTCATGAACGCGATATCTTCTTCATCTCTTGGGAGTTGTACTCCGGATACTGAAGGATATTCGAATCTTTTGACTTGTACTCGTGGAACTTCTCTGTTCCAAGAAGGATTAAACACCAACGGGGATGGATTTTCTAATCCGCCATTCTTAGTAGCCACTAGTTTCCGGTTGGTTCGATATACAGGAACGTTCATTTCAGTGACCCCCTTTGCAATCTCCTGAATCTATATATACACTATTGTGATAACTGATAACTGAAAACATGTACTCAAAACATATACAAGAAGTATACATTACTTTAGTTTCATTGAAGAATCCAGAATCAATCAACTCAAACATGTTCTGGAGACACTTAGCTTCCATAGTCTTATCTGGTAGCTCGGTTTGAGTACTGCTGATCATGAACATTATACATAACATCAGCTCATTAAAACTGCAAAATTGAAAAACAAAATCAGTTTTTTACCTAGGCGAAGTTGTAATCTTCCGACACGGAACACTCGCTTTCCTGTCCAAAAGTTTCAACAGATTCTTACAATTTCTCACCATTGACTAAGTCGGAGCAAAGAAGTTTCGACTAAGAGAGATTGTGCGTCCGTACAAAACCTAGGAGGAGAAGCGAACACACATGTACGGGTACGAGGAAGTGAGCCACGCGTCGCTAAGCAAGGTCCTGCGCTTGGAGCATACGTGGCGATTCGTGGTGCTACCATCGTCACGGATGGTGAATCAGGCTTGATAACGGTGACGGTGACGGAACGAGACGGCCGTTGACTCTTTACTCTGCTCCGGTGAGGAACTCAAGTCGATGAAACTTGGTCAACTAGCGTTGATTAATCTAATATTAGACCGGTTTAAACCGGTTTTGCTTATGGTTTTGTCAACAGTTTGCAGAAATTTTCATCACAAGGCCGGTTTTGTGGTCTCAATTCAATATTTTCCCCCTTTATCGACTTCTCCGTCACATATCTTTTACTTTTCTTGCCATTTTTTTAACTCGATATTTTTATTTTACTTTTGAAAAAAGAAACTCGATACTTAAAGAGGTATGTATATATGTGTTTCCTTTTACGACATTTTTGTTTTCTTGTATGTTTAAGAAAACACCAACAAGTGTTACTTACAAGTTACAAGTTACAACAAAAGAAATACGTAGAGATGCATCATATACAAACGTGTAGAGGAAGGTCAATAAAAAAAGAAAACGAGTTGAGATTTTGTTGAAACGCGTCTAAAACGTAGTATCATATTAACTCATTTGTAAAGTACACTTTAATTTTTCATGTTGTCTTATTATTATCGTTTAGACATAATTTACGCAAGTCACCAAACCAACTACTCACCCGGACGGTGTATTGTCTGTTCCAATATTTTTTTTTTAGAAGGGAAAAACACATAGACTCTTCGATGGTTTTTTCAACCTTTAAGATTTATATTAATCTGTTTGAGGCTTAGATAAATCATATATGGAACATAATAATAAAAAGATGTTTTCTATTTTTGCGATTTACTTGTATTATCGAAAAATTTCGTTAAGAATCACTTATTCGTTATCAAAAAACGATTCACTAGTCCACTAGAACCTACTTTGCAACTGATTTGCAAGTAGAATTGCTTAATTTTCCATTCTCTTTTGGTTCAAATTTTGAGTCTATTTATATTTTTTTGTTTTGAGTTTTCTTTTCATTCTCAATTCATTGTAAATAACTATTAGGGTCAATTGGTGATATAACCAAATTTTTTTTATCTAATATTCTAACTAAAATTCCTAACATTAAATTACTTTCTCAAAAAAAAAAAAAACTACTGTATTATTATTGAGTAGTAAATTTAACATTAAAAATTAAAACTTCTGATTTTTGTTTTATTTTTATATTCATTAACATTGTTCTATTAAAATACGACACATGTGTATATAATTCCCAACCGTGTTGAGTTTTCGTCCTCTGCATCCAACT